TCCTAATTCTTTCACACCCAGTAACTCCTTGAGTTCTTAGTGGCTTTACTTCCTTACATGCGGTGGTACCGATTAAAAAAAGAAAGAAAAAAGTGATATTTATTATTACTTGGAAGATAGAAGATAATTTCTTTAAATGTTCATTTATTGCCTTTCTTTATTTCTTTTTCCTTGCGTGTGGTGATTAAAACAAAAATATCTATCTATCTATCTATCTATCTATCTATCTATCTATCTATCTATCTATCTATCTATCTATCACAGTCTGTTTCTATCTATCTATCTATCTATCTATCACATCTATCTGTTCTATCTATCTATCTATCTATCTATCTATCTATCTATCTATCTATCTATCTATCTATCTATCTATCACAGTCTGTTCCTATCTATCTATCTATCTATCTATCTATCTATCTATCTATCTATCTATCTATCACAGTCTGTTCCTATCTATCTATCTATCTATCTATCTATCTATCTATCACAGTCTGTTTCTATCTATCTATCTATGTATCTAGATGTGTGCGTACATATTAACAACTCGCAAATCGGTTTTCACTGGTGATTAAAAAAAAATATCTATCTATCTATCTATCTATCTATCTATCTATCTATCTATCTATCTATCTATCTATCTATCTATCTATCTATCTATCTATCACAGTCTGTTCCTATCTATCTATCTATCTATCTATCTATCTATCTATCACAGTCTGTTTCTATCTATCTATCTATCTATCTATCTATCTATCTATCTATCTATCTATCTATCTATCGAGATGTGTGCGTACGTATTAACAACTCGCACATCGGTTTTCAGAAGCCAAATCAGGCACGTACCCAATTGTACTTAAACAAGCAAATCTTCGCAATCAAAAAAGTGCGCATGCGTATCTTCTACTGTTTCAATTTTTCACAATCCGTACGCATACGGGCGGCGGGTGTTTTTCTTGAATCTTATATTATATGAATATTCGACAATATTATTATTGTCTGTTATAAAAAAAAAATATTATTAAAAAAAATAGCTTAAATACTAAAATTCGATAGAATTTTATTTTACCCCTTCTGTGTGCCCGGAAGAAGAAATTCTCGTCTGCACTATGCAAGGTCAAAGTTCGATAAACGAAAATTTGAACAACATGCCTGTTGGTAAATTTGCTTCATTTCATGCCTACGAAGCGAAATTTTGTAATAGTTTTTGTTTCTTGTTCATCAAAATAGCTTCCTTCCGCTTCAACCTCAGAGTGGGGAGTTTGCATAAAGATTGCAAATACAGGTTTTTCAGAATCCATTCGTGTTGACGCTGACCGCTGGCAGTTCAATTGGAAATTAAATCCAGACAGCCCTGGAGGTGAATAGTTCCGACTTAGGTGAACTCGTTCTGACGTAAAATAAAATAAAATAAAATAAATCGTAATATTTATTGCGAGGACGCACAAATGTTTAAATCTAATTGGTATTCGTTATGCCTAAAAATCTCATAAAACACACCAATATCCGAGACTGCCTTTTGCCGACATATGTCTTAATGTGAAATGTTAGCCTTTGCCAAGGCTGAATACAGAAGAAATAGATTTTAACTGATACTCCCTCTTTAGGTAAGAGGCTTACGACGTTATAACGTTGAAATACCGTTTTCCGTATGATCATTGAAGTTAAGCAACATCGAGCCTGGTCAGTACCTTGACGTGTGACCACTTCTATGACTACAAGGTGCTATAAGCTTAGATGTGCAGGTGGTGCAACGGATAATGGCTTGGAATTGTTTATCGGAGAGCCGAGTTCCAATTCCAGTTGGTCCGTTATATTAACTTATCCACAAATACCCTTGGGAAAGGTATGAATTTATCTCTTCTCCCCCAAGTTATGGGTTAATTAGTAAGACATGCCTGACTATATCATTATTATCTCAAAAAATAATTCTTACAATGTAAAAATAATTTCTGGCTTTAAATAACATGCAAAGTGTTGATAATCCGTAGAAAACGAATCAAGGTTTGGTAAGTTGAAGCAAGGTTTCTCAACGCCCGGGAAAGAATGAAGTTTTAGTGCACTAACCTGCATTATCACTGAAATGTTTTATTATGTTTTTGTGTTTTATTACGCTGTAAATGGCAGTAGCAAAGAATCAACTGGTATTTTAATCAGGTTAGAAATAATGCCCTAATAACATAAAATTACAAACCTGGTACTTGACACAGTGGATAAAGGCGTTAGGTTAGATCCAGTGACAGGACCCAAAGAGTGTGAGTTCAATACCCGGTTAAGGCAGTGCAGAACTTTCAGAGGGAAATTAACAGGAGATAACTGATTAAACTGGCATCCATTAAAACATGGCACGTGGAACTAGAACAGTCTATCCCAGTGAGCAAAATAAAGGCTTCAGTTCGACATTCCAAGCACCTGAAGAAGGCCGGAGCGTACAAGGGCCGAAACGTTCTAATAAATATGTCAACAAAGATGAGGACAATAGTCCGAATAATGTAAATAGTGTACATAATACCTCATCTCAGAAATATAGAAATATTTTATACACTACCGAATACATGACCAAACACATAGTTACCTTCATTATTGCTTACATAATTTGCAAATCCTTTTGAAATTCATGTTATCCTCTAGTGTTATTTTTCATTGTAACAATTGGAGTAACTCAATGCTTTATTTCCAGTTCAGAGAACTCAGGTACTCATCTGCAAAGCCAGTCATTTGTATTGGTGTCTATAAATTATGAAACAGACACAAAAAATTACTAGATCTTATGGATTTACATTTTTTTTTAAAAATTCATTTCAAGCCAGTCAAATCAATAAAGCCACTAAAACGCAAGGTGTTACTGATTGCGAGAGAATACACTTTTAATTATGGGTGAATGATTTGCCTGATTTCTCATTTGTCTAATATCTACTTCCTCAACCATCGTTGCATGTTAGTGAATAAGTATTTTGTATCGGTATCTGACTATAGGGCAGGATTTTAGAGATATACTGAATTGAGCTAGCTTCCCGAGCCACTGGCGTATTTTGTATAGAAAAGACGTTAAAATTTCCCTTTCCCCGTGCGACGATAGCCTCGGGGTAGGATCTCTAACTGAGGCCAAATCGGTCGGATTTCGATCCCGTCTGGAAGCAATGACGTCTAGCTACACTGAAAAGCTGTGATATGTGGATGACAGTATATATATATATATATATATATATATATATATATATATATATATATATATATATGTTTATGTGTGTGCGCGCGCATTGTAGTGGTCGGGGAATCATCCTCCATCTACGTTAGCATCGGTATATCTGTATTTGTTTAGTAAGTATAATATTACATATATTCTTTCTGGAGTTTGACTGGATATCCATTAGATTGATTGATTTGATTAAAGGCATATCAACGCCTTATTTAATGGCGAAATGTAATTTTCTTGGGAGCTTTCACAATTGAATATATAGTAGATGATATTAAGCTTTTGTGCATATACATGTTTGTGTGGAAATAATAACTAGAGGCTGTGGCATGTGTGTTTTATGTTTTGTTGAAGCTTATATTCTGGAGTACAGTTTGAATTCTTTAAGAAATCTTAGGAAAGTTCTTTTATATTGGTTGTTTGGTTTTGTCTGGGGGCATAGCAACCTCTATGAGTTATTTAATGCCGAAATCTAACTTGTATATAATTTTAGATTTTCGGTGTCTTTTAGATATATATTTTGTAAATAATAAAATGTATTGCTGGTAATTTTACTATAAAAAAATGTACAGTTGATTTTTGTTTGAGGTTCATTGCTGAGACATAACAATACTACCCCGGGTCAGACTGAACCTGGAAACAACAGCAATTCCACGTTGAATCTCCCAATCAAAAGCATTGCTGCCGGATGTAGTTTATCGTCATATCCAGGACTGGATATCCATTAGAAGAAAAAAAAAAATTGAAACTTCGATCTATGTGCATCTCACGACTGGCTTTGTGGTAAGTAAAAAAGCAGCGTTTCAGAGCTTGTTAAAATCACTAGAGAAAAGACAAGAAAGGTCGAAATGATTATAACAATGTTCTGGCGGCAAAAGGCTATATTCAGACACCCAGAACAAAAAGGCATTACTGTGAATAGGACAGGCACATGGAATAAACACAAAGCAAATGTATAAGTAATACTTACTGCTTATTAAAAAGAAATTGATATGGCCAGGGAAAAATATTGATAGAAGAAGAAATATTAAAATAAGATATATATATATATATATATATATATATATATATATATATATATATATATATATATATATATATATATATATATATATATTAACTTGAGGCATTGTCTAGTCGCACTGAGGAGCTATGATACAGTGAAACAGTACTGAATAATATTATATATATATATATATATATATATATATATATATATATATATATATATATATATATATATATATATATATATATATAAAGAAAAAAATCCTTTTACCTAAGGTTCTAACGTTTCCTCATATGCAAACGAGTAGTTTCTGACCATGAGATTCGGGCTCGAATCTCACCATGGTCGAGATTTGTCAGGAAGTGGACCTCCTGATGTTATCGGACTGGATCGGGGTCGGTCCCAGCGTGCGGCACTTTTTTTGAAAGTGTCTGAAAACCATACCACGTCGGTAGCCGGGCGAGCACGAAGCCACAAGTCATAGTGACGTTGTCCAAACTGTTGATCATGCTAGATAACACGCTGTCTCTCAGAAACTCTAACTAATGTCTGCTCAGCATATTTGAAGTATAACCACACGTTGCCTCTCTGGGTGTTGAGCAAAAACATAAATGTACCTGAACGAGCATCTGCAATAGGGATTGGGTAGCCGCTCTAGTAGATAGGTATCCTCGAATACGAGTGGCCAGCTATATATATATATATATATATATATATTATATATATATATATATATATATATATATATATATATATATATATATATATATATATATCCAGCACTCGGAAGATGAAGGCTATGATTTTGTAGATGTTTTCTACCAGAAGTGGACGACTATATATATCCTGCATCAGAAGTTGAAGGCTATGATTTTGTAGAAAGCAAGAACGTCGGTTAAGTCATGTTTTTTTTTTTTGATCCACGATAACCCACTTTCTATCTCTGTAACAGATGGCTCACGAAAAAGAACAATAAAAATAAGAGTGAAATATAAAGCGCCTGGTCTCTTATTATATATATATATATATATATATATATATATATATATATATATATATATATATATATATATATATATCGTATATTTTATAAGAATACGATTTTTCACATTTCTGATTTTCAAATCTACAGTTAATTCTCTAGAAATTCAACACTGAGTGCATATTACTTAATACATATATATATATATATATATATATATATATATATATATATATATATATATATATATATATATGGGGGGGTCTCTCTCTCTCTTTCTTTCTCTCTCTCTCTCTGTGTAATTAATGGATTTTATTTTTAATCCGACAATATTTCTTATTACGCTAAACGTTATTTTAATGTAGACCCCGTTTTCTATTAGGCAGGGTAAATTTTCTTTAAGAAGTCTCTGGAATGCACAAACCGGCAGAGGCAATTCTGAATGTTTAATAAAATAGGGTGTCCACTCAAACACAGATATAACCCTAAATTAAAGTTTACAGTAATATTGGTGCCTGGCTGTGTGGTTAGAACGTTTACCGCCGTGCTATCAGACCCGGATTCAAATCTCACCATGCTCGATTTGTCTGTCTGGAGAGATGGTAAAACAATCACAT